GAAAATAAAAGAACATTTGCCAACCTGTTTAATATCTCATTTTAAATAAAAAATACAGCGTACCACTTAAATTGTTACAGTTGTTAACATTATACTGTGCTGATTAGTCAAGACAAGTGTAAGTGATATAATTCAAGTGTTCATATGCCTTGCATAACTTTGCATCCAATTTCAAAAATGTAGAAGTAGAAATTATTCTTTCAGTTCCAAACAAGATTGATGATCCCCTAATGTCTATATTATTTCCCTTATGAACAATTTTAGGCTACATTCATATTCTGTGATACAAATAAAATCATCACTGAAATTAATCTTGAACACTTTTGTAAACTAATTGTATCACTAAAATCTTTCTGATACTGATGGGGATGATTTTATCCTTTTTTTTCATTCCACAGGAGATACTCTAGGTAACATACATCAAAATATACATAACACTTTTATTAGGCTATTTAAGAACTTTATGGTATTATTTCTGTAATGTTATAAAGAATATCTTCTTACACAGAGTAGACAAGAATAATGAATTTATGGATGGACTTATCCTAAATTTTCTAAAAGTCACAAGGTATGTGGGTACTATAAGACAATGTAGTAAATCAAATATATGATCAATTTGGATGGGGAATATGAAAAATCATAAAAAATAAAGAATATCTCATCACCATATTGGCTGTTTTCTTGCATAACAACCATGATAAATTTTTATAATGATTAATGGAACAAACTATAAACATTCTAGGTCAGGGGTGTCAAACTGCCGGCCTGCAGACCGGACACGTCATTCGGAAGCTGTGCCGACAATGGCAAAACCATCCCAATAAGTTGTGCGACGTCACGTGACATCGCAAGTTTAACATGTCTGTTCTAGCTTCAGTTTTTCAAGGGAGTAAAGTATTTATGGGTTGTTTAACCCATAATTATAATCATAATTAGTTTTTTTTTTAAATAGTGTTGCTTCTGCTATTACTCTTGCCTTATCCCTCTATGGCACAAACTCGGGGAATATTTCATATGCATATGATACCATTTAATTGCTATTAAATCAATAAGCTAATAGGTCCATACGAAGCCATAGTGTCAAACTTGTTTATTGCCAACTAAGCAAACCTTGGTTTGTTTGTTGACCATATTTATTTTGGATCCAATCCCTATATACAATAAATCAGATTTATGGAATGCAATAGCATAGTGTTGTAATGTTATATGTTCTTCATTTCTGTCAGGAAATTGCAATGCATTTTAATATATAAAATAAAATTTGCTTCACTTTTGTCACTATTATAAAGGATTTTAAATAGTGAAAATCCGCTTGCAATGGAATTCTAAACAGGTTTGTTCTCATCAAGGTTATTGGAAGTTTCTAGTAATTTACTTAGAATTATAATTGTTATAATTATAGCGGTTAAGGCATCAGACTAGGAACTAGGTGACTATGAGTTCTAGTTCTGCCTTAGGCACAAAGCCATCTGGGTAATGTGGGACTATTCATTTTTTCTTAACTCTAGGAAGGAGTCAGTAGCAGTTTTAAAAAAAATCTTGCCAAGAAAGCTGCAGGGACTTTATTCCAGGACAAGACTGAATGGAAGGGAGAAAAAATAATTCTTACATATTTTAATGAAAAAAGCACCCTAGTTCATTCCAGAAGGACTAAAAAGTACTTTAACTTCGATATGTAAGACTAGGTAGAGTTCAATAATCTAAAATATTTTAAATATTCAAATAAATATCTTGCTATAAAAATGCCTCTTGTTGCATAGGATACTATTTGTTAATAAAGCCTATTTATTGCATTGTGATGATGAATGATTGAATTATATTTTCTCAATGAAATCATACAGATTTAATAGTGCTTCTTCCATACAATATCATTTCTAAAGCTATCAAAATATTTTAATCTGCAAAGAGGGATTGATATGTGGATTTATAATAATTTATAAAATATAAATATTCTATTTAAGTCTACATACGCATTTTATTCACATAGTGAATAAATTCATAACCAAAGTAAATCCATTTATAACTCTCATATCAAATTCTTCTCTACCTCTTACATTATGATCAGGCAAATAATTAGTCCTGTCTCTTAACCTGGTCCCTCCCCAGCCTAGATAGGGAGAAACTGACTACAATTCAACCTTAGCAACAATCCGTGTAGTTTTTTGTCCCCCAGGGTATGGAAGTTTGACATATCTGGGCAGGGTAACAGTCTCTGGACAAAATTGATGCACAGTTTGGGAGTCCTCCTGGATTTGTAGCTCCTGCTGCTTTTAAAGAGGTGGGCCTTTGCGTTAAGTCATCTCATGCACCAATTGTGCCCATTATTAGACCAGGAGGTCTTACTCACAATCATCTCCCAATTTGCTTACTGCATGCGGTCTATATGGAGATCCCCTTGAAGACCATCAAGAAGCTGCAGCTGATCCAGATTGCAGCAGCAAACAGTTCTAGGTACCTCACAGTTCACCTGAGTTATATCACTACTGCACTGGCTCTCAGTTGTTTTCTGGATGCACCTTTTTGTATGTGCATCATGACTTTGCACATTTGTGTTAATAAGCTACAACCTTTGTCATTCTAATGAAAATAGCAAACTCATGCAACATATAACTTCTGTGGAACCCTATAGTTCAGTTAATTACATAGATTTACACAGCTCACTCATTAGAAAACTAGGGGTTTTAAAAATTTAAATGATTGCATTTTAAAAAGTAACATATGTCTTATTTTTCTCCATTCAGTATAAATCTTGTGATTCAGCTAACAAAAAAAATTGAGGGAGAAAAATAGAAAAGAAACTTGCTACTTTCTTAATAATCTATTTCTTAAAAATCTTCCACATAGATGAATGCTGATTTAAAAGATTTATAAAATGTATATTGTAATGCAGTGAAGTTTTATTTCTTCATGTATTTAGGCAATAACAATATAAAATACAGTATTTCCAACTATATAGCAAACAATCAAATTTTATTTCTTCATGTATTTAGACAATAAAAATATAGAGTATTTCCAACTTTCTCCTAAATACTCAAATTTCATTTTTTTGTTAATTATTTTAGAAATCTTGCAAATGTCTTCTTATTAAATCATGCCTAAATAATACTACATATTACCTCAACATTATTTTGGAATTATGAAGTAAATTTACATATCGTAGCATGTAATAATTCATTTTGGATCATTTTTCTGATTTCGCAACCTTAAGACAAGCATAAAATGTTTCCTTTAATGTAATTAAAAGCAATTTACAACAAAACAAATGGTTTAAAAACATGCTTATCATTTAAAGTGATTTATTTGCATTGTGTTTAGAATATTGCATGGTGAAGTTTATTTTGTGCATATGCTTTTTATTTTACTAATATTATGAGCCATATTTCAATGACCCCTGTCCATTTTTCATGCTGTCTTAATCCCAATGGCCTCTGTGCATGTAAGTAACCTGTCAAGTGACAATGCCTTTTTATTTGCTTCTTACTGTTTCCCTTCAATAACTCCTTTTCTTTATTACCTAGAAGTGTAGAAATGTTTAAAAGTTGGTAAATGTGTCCTTGTATTCCTCTAATATGTGTACATTTTTTTAATTCTGTCTAGAAACCTGAATTAATATTTAATGTGATCATTTGGTTATTAGAATGTTTTTTCTGCTTGTTTGTGTTGAGGCACTCTCACTATACATTATGCTTTTAACTATTAAGAGGTGGCCTTGAAAAATACCCAAAAATTAAAATTCCAACCAGTTTTCATCTAGTATGTAATACATTTTGTAAATTCAATGAACATGGAAATACAACCTAGATTTTTCCTTAAGGAAATTATTAGGGTTTTATGTTTATCAATAACTATATTAAGTAAGATTACTTTAAGTAGAAAACAAAAATGTGGTTAAATATTATTTTAATTCTGATAAAAAAATATAGCTCAGAAAGGTAGAAGTTAATGGAAGTTATTTTTTTTTCACGGAAGAGCCCAATCTTTCTTAGCAATAGTAGCTATTCTTTATTTATTAACATATGTATGTCCATATTTACTGTGAGAGACTCAGATCATAACAGCTATATGATTTATGTTATAAATAGGAAGATTTCTGACAACATAAATGTCAAATTTGTTATATCAGAAGATAGTAAAATATTCCATCAGTACATGAAATACATATCTTGCCAGAATTTCAGGGGTGTTTGGATGACTGACTTCTTAATCTATATTAAATATAAAACTGTACTGTAATAAATTAAAATAAATAATAGTAGTATTGTTGGTATACTAACTCCTTCCCTGTTTCCCTTTTTGTCTTTTTGAAAATATGCTTTTTCTGGTATAACATTTAATAAAATTGTTTATTCACTCTTACATTGCTTAAGAAACTCAGATATATTATTACAATTGATTAATACTTTTATTTCATTTACATTATTATAATACAAACAATATTTCATTACTTGGCATAGAAAGGGAAGGGTTTTTACATAAGATTTATTAAACTATTGCAGTTGACAATGCATTGAGATTCTCAAATAATTGACAGTAGCATAAAGACAATTGAGGAATTTTTTTCCAGGGTCATATTGATTCTGTTGTGGTGGCTTTATAATTTGCCATAAGACTTCTTTGGGAGAATCGTTATAAGACATAATGCTAACATACACAAACACACACACTACAATAAAACTGTTAAAAGCAGACTTTAATTCATTTTTATAAGCTAATAAAATATATTTAAATCTTTACTGTTGATTAAATAGATATTCTCACATATCTATCCATTCCTTACAATAATTACTATGGAGAGTCTTAGAAATTTTCAGAAATGCTAATACTTAAAATGTACCTATTTGCATGGTGTACGCACAAATTCTTGAGCATGTAATTTGTAATACATTCTTGTTAAGTAAAATATTTAGTGAAATTGTAATAAAAATATTTGAAAAATGAAAAAAAAATGAAAAATATCAGACATTTTTCCTCTATATCTGTTGTTTTTCCTCCTGTTACAGTGTTCGATCAATTAGATCTTGTCACCTATGAAGAAGTGGTAAAATTGCCTGCATTCAAAAGGAAAACACTTGTTTTATTAGGTAATTTTAATGCTGATCCTGTAGTAATGAATTATATATTATATTTTTAGTTCTTTGTAATAATATCATTTTTTTTCATGTAGGAGCACATGGTGTTGGGAGAAGACATATTAAAAATACATTAATTACAAAACATCCAGACCGATTTGCATACCCTATTCCACGTAAGTAAAAATTTTGTAAGATGGATTGTTAAGAGCCCAGAGTCATTGGGAATTACTAAGGTGGCCAAAGTAAATAAATCATGATTATGGTCATAGGAAAGAAGCCATTTTTTTAAATAAAAATAATTCTCAATCTTTTTCAAAAAGGATTTTTTCAAAAAAAAAAACCCACACATTATCACAGTTTTAAGATTATTACCTGTTTTCATTGATTTAGACAAAAATTCAAATACAGAAATAAATAATTGATAGTCTTTGCAAAAATGAATAGCTAAACTATTACCTATAATTTATACATATTTACCCACTGTTTATTTTTTTTAGTATAGATGAATGTGAAAAAAGTCTGGGTTTGTTGTGCCTAACTTTTGTAATTATAGATACAACCAGGCCACCAAAGAAAGATGAAGAGAATGGAAAGAATTATTACTTTGTATCACATGACCAAATGATGCAGGACATTTCCAACAACGAATATTTGGAATATGGTAGCCATGAAGATGCAATGTATGGGACAAAACTGGAAACTATACGGAAGATCCATGAACAGGGATTAATTGCAATACTTGATGTAGAGCCTCAGGTAGATACAACATTCATGTGCCTATTTTATCAGACAAAGAAAATATTTTCCTTCATATTGGGTATGATGACAAAATGTTAGCCTGCTATAAAATGCTCTCTTTCCAATTGTCTTTGACATGAAGAAAGACATTTCTTTCTTTGCTTTGGCCATATAAGAGGAGTCAGAAGATCGATGGAGCAATATGAACTAGAAGTAAGGACAAGAATATGTTACTTTATATTAAAGTTTATACCATTCTATATTATACTCACTTAGGCCTTGAAGGTCCTGAGAACTGCAGAGTTTGCTCCTTTTGTTGTTTTTATTGCTGCACCTACAATTACGCCAGGCATTAATGAGGTAAGCCTTTTACAGCGAAATACTAGTGTAATTGAATGTAATATAATATAAATTTAAGGAAGTCTTAAATACAGTATTTTTCGTCTGTATATGTTTAGCATGTCTGTTTGTTTTTCTTTTTACAACATAATTTGCATAAATATTTCTTTCTCTTTACCTGTCATACTTCATTTTAATTTTTATTTTGTTTTTCTAAGGCCATGTCTGTACCAGCTAATTTTTGTATAGTTTAACCAAGCAGACGTTAGACTGTGAAAATGGACATTCATCCAGTTTCTTATTAGAGATTTTCCCTGGTCAGAAATCTACTTCCTGGTTTCTTTACAAAAAAATATATCTTTAAAGAGATAGTAATAATTCGCTGATTGAATATACAAAAGTAAATGTTATCCAGCTCTAATGATTATGTTGTTCCATAATCAAATTTTCTTTAATTTAAAAATAAAAAGTAGAACTTCCTAGAATTAAAACTGTCTTTTTATTCTGCATGAAAACTAATGGTATTTACATAAATGTGTTAATTCTACATATTTTAGTTTTATGTTTTCAAAATGAATACAAATTGCCAAATCGAGAGTTACAAGAGAGAAAGCACATACATACACACACCTAAATAAATTGAAATAAAAGATAGTTAGGAAGATTACTGTTACAGACATATCCTATATGATTGCATTATTGTTGTTTTTTTCACTTATTATCTTTGCTTTGCTTTTCTTCTCATTTTTCTTATACTTGTACTGATTCTATCTAGCTGCCAAAATGGTGCAGAAAATTGCCCGTAAGTACCAGCTAGGAACCAGTATTATGTAGATTTTGTTATTTTAACTTTGTTTCAATAAAGAAAGTTGTTTTCAGTTAAATGTAACCTATATGCCATAGCTATTTTTACATTTTTCTTATATTTTTAATTTAAAACTGGAATTGGTAGTGTACATATAGGCCTTCAGATGCAGTTGAATTACAGCCCAAAGCAAAAAATTCCATTAATCATAAGATCTGTAGTTCAGTGTCAGAGAGAATGATATATAAATCAAGGGGAAAATGACCTCTCATTAGGCACCATGCAAATATCTTTAGTTCAGGTGATCTCCCCAGTCACTACATTAGGAAGTATTGACTGTTTCTCATTTGGTAAGGAATAATTACCTGAAGCTAGGTAAGTGTTTCCTTGCTTTTTTCGGCACAGTAGAAAAACTAACTGAATTCTGAAAATTTCACCATGATATTTATTTATTTAAAACATTTATATAACTTTCCATTTTATAACAGACTCTGCAGCTCCCAATCTATTCTAGTTTCCACAGAATTAACTGAGGCTGGATTTAGGATAGGAATTTCCACATTTTTAATAATTCTTTACACTTTTTACAGCATAATATAGGTAGGGTTACAACGGCAATTGGGACCAGAATTACCATCATAAAGCAATGTGGCTGTAAAGTCTGACATACATTAAATAAACCATATTGCTTACTAATGGCAATTCCAGCAGTCCGAGTTGCATGGGTACCATAGGGAGGTGCCGTGGGCAGGCACTTTGGATTTCAGGAAATCAAAAAAGTGGCAGGAGCAACTTGTGACTTCCTGCCAGTTCCCCTATTGACTTTGTTTGTGGGAAGTCAGCAGGAATGTCAGAAGTCGCAATCACATAACAGTGGTTTGCTGCAATGTTGTAATTGCAAGCCAAGCCCAAGAACCCAGATTATGATTGCAGATACTGCGATAGCTGCAGATTTGCAGACTTGTTATAAGTCTCCCTCGTTCAGCACCATCACAACTTTGAATGGTGCTGAACTAGTGGCTGTAACCCTAGAACTACCTGTATATCATATTTTGCATAAAATAAAGTAATAAGTAGTTCTAACACAGCTCAATAGATAATATGATCCTTTCACAGTTTTATGACATATATGAGAACAATTATATCATAATATGACCACCACTTAAGTCTGAGTCAGCAGTCAAAAAAGCAAACCTAGTCTTAGGCTGCATCAACAGAGGAATAGCATCAAGATCACCAGAAGTGATAGCACCACTCTATACCTCATTGGTGAGGCCATATTAGGAATATTACATCCAGTTCTGGCCACCATAGTTCAAAAAAATACAGAGAAGAACAACAAAGATGATAAGGAATCTGGAGGCTAAATCCTATAAAGAGTAGCTAAAGCAAATAGCTATATTTAGTTTAAACAAGAAAACTCAGAGGGGAGACATGATACCAATCTTCCAATAGAGAGCATCTATTTAGCACCTGAGGTTAGGACAAGAAGCAATGGGTGAAAGCTCATCAAGGGGAGATATAGATAAGGAGGAATTTTCTGACAGTAAGAAGTATTCAGCAGTGGAGTGGTTACCTCATGGAATTGTGGGTGCTCTGTCACTGGAGTTTTTCAAGGAAAAATTGGACAACTATTTGCTTGAGATGGTATGAGGACTCTGCCTTGGGCAGGAGATTAGACTAGAAGACCTCAAAGGTCCTTCCAGCTAATCTGATTAGTTTATTTTATTATTTACAAGAATATGTTAAGTCATACATCAAAAGCAAAGCATCCCATAGAGATTATGGAATAAAAACAATGAATGCAATTCACTTGTGTCAGTTTCAACTTATTTCAGGGCAAATCCAAATTTTTGGAGAAAAAAGTGGAGGGTTACCAATATATGGCCACTTCTGTATGTATTAACCAGATTGTTAATAAGTAGTTTATTTTGGTCAAAAGCCAAAGTTTTATGCTAAATTATGTTGACACTGACAGATTACAATATCTCTTGGCTACTATTTATATTTGATTTCTTTTTTATATTCTGATTTAACAATTTTGATTATTTATGGTTCATCACCCAGAATCATGATTTGAAATGGTCAGCTATAATAAATAAATAAATCTCTCATGATTCATTAATAAGGTACCACTCCTCTCTTGTTCCTTGCTAATCCAATTATTTATTCTCACATTCATCTCTTCCATTTAAACAAATGCTGAGTTACACAAAGAAAATAAATTTATATTATATAACTTAACCAAGCAATTTAATAAGTTCAGCTCAATTTTTTTAAAGTAAAGCAAAACCCCAAATTCATGTCTTACAAAGGGATTCAAAATGAATGAATCTTTATATAAGAAATGCATTTGGAAATATGCTTCCTTATAAGCAATAACTGCAAGATAACAAAGTTGTTCTACTTTCATTTTTCCTAATCACTGTGCAGGATGAATCTCTTCAACGCTTGCAAAAGGAATCAGAAATCTTACAGAGAACATATGCACACTATTTTGACCTTACAATTATCAACAATGAAATTGATGAAACAATCAGGCATCTGGAGGAAGCCATTGAGCTTGTTTGTAAAGCATCACAATGGGTTCCTGTTTCCTGGATATATTAAACCCAATTACCAGAAGAATGTGATCATTATTGGAAGCCACCTCATACTTGGAAGAACCTCTTTGTTATTGACCTTATGTCAACAGGTCTTGGCCCCTAGAGACTACCTAGATGTAGTGTGACCTAAATTTATAATTATTGTCATGTCCTTATAGCTAGGCAAAAAATATGATAATTTAAAGAGACAGTATCTTTTTTAATCAGTTCGCCTAAATTTTATTAAAATGTATCTTTAAATATATGTATTATTCAATCCTTTGGAATGTTATATTTTTGGAACTCATAGCTTTTAATTTCAAAGGCCCCTAAAACTGCACAAAATAGATGCTGCTTTCTATAATCTATTTTAATAATAATATGATCTTTACTTTAATTGGGGGTGAAACATTGCATCTTTTAGAGTCTCATTTTGTGAATTGGATTGAGTTTTCCTTTATTTATTTGAAATTATTAGCCCAATCATAATCAGATCAGTACTTATATTCTAATGGCCTTCTTCTGCTTTTTAAAATCATTTTTAGGATAGCATTTTTGAAGTATTTTGGTTTAATATGCAGATAATGTGATACTGTCTCTTTGAAGAACTCTGTAAAACTGAATAGAGATTTGAAGTTGGGTCTTGACTCTTAATGCATGTGGACAGTTGCAAGCGTTCATGCCGTTGGTGTATCTGTGTTGAAAAAACTGTAATCTACAACCAAGTACATTCCGTTCATGGGGGGAAGATACCCAAGGGAATCAAATAAAATATTATGACTAAGTTGTAAAACCTATGCACATCCCTTGCATTTTGGGCAACTTTATAAACAAAAATCCTAATTTTTATTAATAATCATGTAGTGAAATGTGTTTGTAATTTTGTCTCAAATTAATTTGTTGTAAAAATGGGAGGGGAAAAATTACTGGTTTTGCCATTTCAGATCTGTGTTGTCTGAGAGTATTACCGTTTTAATTATGTTTAAGCAAATATGCTGATTTTTAATATGTATGTAATTGTTTTGAAAATGCACACATTTTAAGAGAAAATACTGTGCAATGAAAGAAACCCAGTTTAGGCTTTGCGATAAATTAACAGTTCCAAAAATACTCAGCTGCTGCAGCCCTGTAAATTCTTTTCAGATTCTATAGTCTGACCATTTTTTAAAGTTTTATTTTAAATATACTTCATTTTATGTGTTCAACAATTAAATGCCTTGAGTCATTCATTTCATCATAGGATTCTACAACTACTTAAAAAAACAGCCAATTTTTTGTAGATATTTAGAAAAAAGTTCTCTCATCTTTGTGATATTTGACATTCATGCTTTAATTGCAAGCTCATTCTGCAAATAAGGGTCGCTTTATACATTCATATATTCACATTTTTAGTACTTGCTTGTATTATATACATGCTGAAAAGTATATATTCCCAAAACACATTGTAATAAAATAAATATATGGTTCAGATAAAATGGATTTTCCAAATAGCTATGGCTCCCTGAGCTATATGCTCTGGTCGGGAAAAATGCAATTTTGGCAATGTGTGGAACAGTCCTAAATCTTAGATATGGAGCCTTAATAAGCAAATTTACCATGAATTCATCTCAGGGTTATTGCTATATTCTGATTTCTCTAACCAATGTCTTAGCAAGGATAACATCTGTTCCCCATCATAACAGAGGGAGATTGTGCATTATCCATTCCAGTTTGTGATATCTTTGTGAATCAAATCTCCATGTATCACTGGTATTACTGTATCTTGGACTGATTGTTTTACATTTTTATTATTTAATATGGATTCTTTGCTTTTGTTATTAAATTCCAGTATGTTTTTGAAAAGTGTTATCTTCAACATTGCAATACAGAAGTATTATTTATTAATGTAAATTCCTTGAGAATGATTTAAGGTTCTCAATAGTTATCATTCTTAAAAAACAAAAGATTGTTCTTCTTTCAGGGTTTTTAAGATTGCAGCTTGTTCCCCCATATTATTTCCAAGTTAGGTTGTAAGAATCCTTTGAGCACAATTTTTCATTTGCACACATTACATTACCTATCAAGATAGCGTCTTCACTGCTGTGATCTTGAAGAAGTGAGGATTGTATATAGTTGTCTGGCAATTTTTTTTATGTATTTTGGTGGATAGCCACAATAGCCACAAGTAGCTAACCTCACTTCTTCAAGATTATAGCTCTGAAGAAACATTTACAAATAAAAAAAACCTAAACTCAGAGGATTCTTACAACACTTTTGCAACAATCAAATAATATATATATATACATACTTTAACATTACATTGTATGCATTTCCAAGTCAGTTGTAATTAGGTTATCAAAGGAAATGCTGATTAGTAACAAAACTAGAGCAGAGAATAGCAAGGTGGTCATTTTGCACCTAGAAGTGTATGTTTATTGGCAGAAAGCTTATCTGCCTCTGTTCCAGTGACATATTCTGAACTTACTGTACACTTTGCAAGCTATTTATGAATTTCTGGATGTTACATATATTTTTTAAAAGGGGGTGTATTATTTTCCCTTGATTATATCTGTTAATCAGGTTCCTAGTAATTTGATCAATGTGTATCTATATAATTTATAGCATCCCATATAGTCATTATATGATTTATATGGCTCTGTAACACTGTTGAAAAAGCCATTGGAATGAGTTATATTGTTTTTTGTTTTCACTATTTTTGAGAACTGATCCCCAGGACCTAAATCACTGAGTTCATTCAAGATTCTTTTACTCTCCCTTTGTACCCCGACATCTGCAAGGAGGTCTTCTTCCCTCTGTTGTTTTGGTTTTATATAATATACTAAACTATCAGTTCTCTTATTAATTTTGATAAATATTTGGGCACAAAATAGGGATTTGACAATAGGTGCTAAATGTTTGTATCGTTAATGTATAACAACACCAGCATAACATTGCAGTATAAGTTCACTTCCCATTATAATGACCAAACATAAATTAATTTTAATAAAGTAGGATTATATCCATGATTTGTAAAGGATTGCTCTTGCTACTATTACTGTATTAATATTGGAAAATACAGAACAAAATATATTGAATTGAAAGCTAAACATAAACTATTTGGGAATTGTGAACTTTTTAGGGTGTTTGTTTTTTAGAAGCAATGTAGGGTCCAGATAGCATATAAACACTACCCTATAACATCATGTGTCATTTCGCTCTTATTTTTATGCAGAAACAAGCTTTATTAAAAAAACATATTTTGTTACCTCGCCAGAATTTATTGTGTTAAGAAAGTCCTGAATATTGAGAATTGGATGTGAGTTACATAGTAGATTCTTTCATACACATACAGCCACACACATTCATGCACAGTATTCTAAGAAAAGGTAAAAACAAATACAAACTAATGTAAAGTAAGAAAGAAAAAACAAAAAGAGAAAGCTAAAAATGCAAGACAGGAAAACAGTAAAAATAGAAAAGAAAGAAGAATGATACAAAGTATTGGTTTTGACTTTTTTAACAGCAGTTAGAAGTGCAATTACAATTTTACCTCTCTAAAGTTACAACATGATTCTCTTCTTTCTATAATCTATACTGTCTAATCATCAAACTAAGTCATAAGTTCATTTTTTTTCTGTTTCACACAAAAAGTCTACAAAGGGTTTCCATTCCATTTCCAGCAATAAGAAGAGGAGCCATGGCGGCGCAGTGACTAATTCTGCTGACTGTCAGGAGTTTGATTCCTTTGATCTTGATTGACTCAAGGTTGACTCAGTCTTCCATCCTTCCAAGATCAATAAAATGAGACCCAGGTTGTTGGGGCCAATAGGCTGACTCTGTAAACCATTAGTGTATAAAGCACTGTGAAGCGGTATACAAGTTTGTTGTGCTATTACTATTGCTACTGTCTTTGACTAAAAAGTCAATTTGGCCATGTCAGTGAGTTCCATCATTTCGACCAACCATCCCTTCCATTGTACGTATTGTTGAATCTTTCCATCTTTGTGCATAAAATAATCGTGCTGCAGTTATCATGTACAAAATCAAAATTCCATTACTTTTTTCCAACTCTTTATCCATCAGTCCTAAAAGAAAAACCTTTAGTTTCAATTGTGTATTAATCTTTAACACCCACTAAATCTTTATGTATTTGGATCCAAAATTTTCTAGCTTTTTTACATGTCCACTAAGTATGATAAAAGCCCTTGTTCACATTTCCAACATAAATTTGAAATACCTTTATATATTCTGGACAATTTTATCTTTTATAAAAATGTTGTAAAAGTATAACATAGTGTAAATTTCAATCATTGCAATTGCAATTTCTCATTGTTCCATCTGTATCTCATAATTAAAATTTTAGCCCAGTTTATCATACATTGTTTCATTTACACATTTTAGTAATATAAAATGTTCATGATTTGTACAAAATTCCATTTCAAACTCAGTCTTACAGTTCAAAACCATAAACTCTTTTGTCTACTTTAAATGTTTCTAATAACTGTAAATAAGAAAACTATTGGCAACTATGTCCCTCTGCCATCAATTCTTCTCTTGATATTATTTTCTATTTTTCTTGACAAAATTCTAATATCTCATAAGTTAGCCATTTGTATTTGCCTATTATTTCTTGTTTATAAAATGTTTCTTGTGCTGAGAGCCACAGAGGTATTTTTGGGCACAACTCAGATTTCTAACTCTTCCATATTTTCACTATGACATGTCTAACATGATAATTAAAATCCACAATAATCTTGACCTTATCTTACAATATCCACACTACCCAAATCTCATATCTTTCTAACCCCAAAAGCCTTCTATTTCTCAATAACACCACTCTCATCCACACCAAAGAGCAAACTGTAAAATACAATTTCAAATCAGGTAAAGACAGTCATCCTCTTTGTGTCTGGTAATATCTTATATTTAATATGGGGGGTTGCCCCCCGCCAGACAATGTTGGTGTATCCTTTTGCCACTGTTTAAATGGTGCATCAGTTGTCAAAATGGATATTATCTGAAACAAAAACATCATTCTAAGCAAAACATTTTTATCACAGAAATTCCCCCCAGCAATGAGGATTATAGTTTTTCCCATCTTATCTTTTTAATTTCATTCCATGTCTTAATATAGTTATTATGAAACAATATATAGTTCATATTTGTGATACCCAGATATTTTAATTTCTTCTCAATCTTAAAATCTGCTGTATTCACCAATTTTATGAATTGGTCATCTATTTTCATGGTTTTTGTTAACATCTGTGTCACAATGGATGTTTTCATTATCCAAATAGCTTTGATTTTTCAGGAATTCTGAGAGTAAATTTCCGTGTAATAGGGGGCTGATTCTGTCTTATTCTATATTCTAATAGCATGGTTAGCCCTCCAAGCTATTGTGTATTATCATCATCATCATCATGCATTTTTAGTATATCAGTTATTGAAGATAGCTACATTTTGAAGTATGCCATCAAATGTCTCCTGGATCCTATGCATACATACATACATCATAGGCTATGCTGTGTTATGTATAATAAAGTATAAGCAAAAAATTAAAGGCAGAATATATAAGAAAAGGAAGTCTAGATCTTATCTTACACCAACTATATCTCTGTATTCTGTTCTTATAAATCATCTGTGCTACCATGACATTCATATACTAATTCCTACGCTGCCTTTTGTTCTTTAAACTTCTTATTAATCTCTTTTTCATTGTCCCATAAGCTCCATTTATCTGAGATTTTCTTAGTTTTCCTTCTTGTATTGGCCTATTTACTCCATATTTTTTATTTGCAATTCTATCTTAATTCACATTATATGAAAAAAGCACTTCAGCATGATCAGACATCTATTTTCATTGACCATTCTTGCTTGACATAAACTCTTAGTTTTTCTGCAAATGATTTGAATTCTTAGCATTATCCTCTGCGCATAAATAAAATATACACGTATTCTTTTTCTTATTCCTTGCTCAATTTTGAACCATTTACAAAGTATTCTGTTTATTATTGTGTGCGTTAACGACCTTACTTTCGTAGATATCTTTCATGTCCTACTGAAGAACAAAATTTGACCTGAATGCTCCCTTACTGACACAAAGCCATGTTTTATTTCCCACATTTTACTTATTGTCATCTGTCCTACCAGAGTTCTGCACCTCTGTAGGTACACTTGACAAACTCATCTGCAAAAAAAGCATTCTTCATTATAATGATTTTTAAAAGATTTCAAATATTTAAAGTTCATAAGAAAACTTTAAAAAAAAAAATGAAGAACAAAGCCTAGTTTCTGTTTCTTCATCTTACTTGTGTACTCTTCAGGGGCAAGTTTCTGTCTTGATTGGAAATTGCCATGGGATGAGGTAACTTCAGTACACTGATGATACTCCATCCCGGGTCACCCAAATGATGCTGTTGCTGCCCTCTCATGGTGCCTGGAGGCTGCAGAGGTCTGGATGGGAGACAAGAAATTTTGACTGAACCCTGGTAGGACCAAGTGGCCTTCAGTGTATGGAGCTTCTGGCTCCGGAACTTTAATATCTTTAATTCTGGATGGGGTTGTACTGCTCCAAATAGATCCAGTCCATAATATGGGGGTTGTCCTGGACTCGTGACTCCTGCTCAATGAGCAGGTAGCAATTGTGGCTAGGATAGCCTTTGCACAAATTTTGGATCATATGCCAGTTGCACCCTTTCCTAGATCAGGAGTCCCTGCACTCAGTCATCTCATGCCTGGACTACTGCAATTCATTCTACATAGAGCTATCTTTGAAGAGTATATGGAAGCTTCAGCTGGTGCAGAACACAGCTGGGCAGGCAGTTTTTAGGGCCCCTAGGGTGACCCATGTTACACCGCTGTTCCATGAGCTGCACTGATTAGCTCTTATAACTTTTAAAACCCTT